TTGGATTAAACCACCTTATTTCTCAAAGAATACAAAATGTGAAACCAGTCACTTTAGTGCTGTCAGGTTTCTGATATTTAAAAGGATAACTAAACTATTTTGTGTGTGATTAGCTGAATCTGTTACCCATTTTGTAAGTTAAAAGCTTGATGGAATCTCTTTTCTATAAAATAGTTTATTGTTCTAGGACAATGGATTTAATCCCTACCCTAGATCATATTCTAATAACTTTTCTATAAGCCATCATCATCTGTGGGCAATGTTTTTGTGTTTAAATGACATTATTGAATTAAATTACAAAATGTCAGACTGGTGAATTTTCTTTTCTTTGTACTTTGAGGTTTGGTCTTTATAAATTCATGAAAGCTCCAAACATTTACTTTGAAGATCTACACATAAAACTATGCTTATTCAAATATGAAAATCTAAATAAATCACCAGGATCAAATAAGTATAATTTTAAATTATGATTCTAGACACTAGATTTGATTCAGAACTACAGCCACTTTATGAAGCCATTTAGGAATTTCCCCGAACAGATCAGTGGTTTCCTTTGTCATAGAGGACATTTTTAAAGCAGGAATAAATGGACTTTTAAAATTTAGTAATTTCATAAAGAAAATATTTGTGACTATGGAAGTTAATTAGGATGAATGAATAGGATAAGAGATTATTGAATCCTCAGTTCTAAACAGTATAAACCATGGATGAAGAACTTTAAAAATCTGATTAAAGGGGTTTGTAGTTGACTGGTTTTGAGAAGAGTTCTCTCATGACTAATATGAGAATTTAAAATACTTGGTTACTTTCATTGGTGAAATGTTGTACCTCCCACTGCATGCTTCCCTCTCCCTGTTAAAAGGGGGTGTGTGTGTTAAATCTTTATTAGAAGATGTGGTGATTAAGGTTAGAATGATTGGTGAGAAGTACCGAGGAGGAGGGCTTGTTTTTAGGTGTTTAAGGTTAAGTTTAGTACAAGGTAGTCCTCAGACACTTTGGTGGAGTTTGAAATTTGCCCTGTGGATGGGAACAAGCAGTTATCAGAACAAAAGGAAGTGTGGTTAAACGGTCCAGCTGTCACTGGGGGCTATTGCCATTGGCCCAAATGAAAGGGGAAGTGGAGCCCTAATTTGTCTCATTTTCTCTGATACAAGTTAGACTTTGTTAACATGGTGGTGTTCAGTAGTGGAGGTGAGTGCTGTATATCTGTACAAAGAAGACCACTTACACATCATTATTTTACAAGTGTCTCTGGAGTAATTTTTCTAGCCTGTTTGTAATTATTAGCAATCGATTTTTCTTAACATCTCTCAAAACTAGGAATTCCCAAGATACACTGTTGAAGATACAGTTAAATTGAGAAAAACAATGCTTCTAGCTTTTTCCTCAAAATGAGAATCTACCTTGTCAATTTTGTTTAATTACAAAAAACAACAAATGCAGATTTGTAACTCACAAAGTACTGGGTTTATGCATAGAAAGTATAGTTTGTGCAGGTGAATGAAGAACTTCCTTTTTAAAAAAGGTGACCAGATTTTGACATTGGTAAAGCGGGACACCATTGATAAAACTCATATCCTGGCAAAATAGCCACATGGCAGCTAAAAACTGTATACCCTAGCTTGTCGTGCATTCTTTCCAAAAATCGGGACCTTTTTAAAACGCCGTGGGACGCGGGGAAAAATGTTAAAAATCGGGACATCTGGTCACCTTATTTTTTAAAGGTATATGCCTCAACCTGGCGGTGTGAAAATTCATCCAAGTCCTGCTTCCTCTGTATTTTGAAAGCCATATTCACAGCAATAAATGATAAAAAAAAAAAATCTAGGCTCATTTTTATGAGCTGCCCAAATTAAATGAATGGAGAAAACTTAAAATAACGGTATTTTAAAGAAGTGATTGTTAGAACTGACTGAATTGTACATGTAGAAACTTAGTTTGGTGTGTTTTCCTCTCTGCAGTCTCAACTATTTTTTTTAGTCACAGATGCCTGGAGCGCAAGAGTGTAGGAGCTGCAATCCAT